AAACAGCCACTGGCCAAAAGGATGGCCCAGCACAGAAGATCAACATCATCAGGCCAGGACTCTGCGGTCTACACTCGTCTCCAGGCCAGCGGTCACTCTTTCAGGGATGAAGATGTTCACATCCTGGACAGAGAGGAACGATGGTTTGAGAGAGGAGTAAAGGAGGCCATCTTTGTGAAAAGAAACCGTCCATCATTAAACAGGGGTGGAGGCCTACGTGTTCAACTGTCCCCCTCTTACAATGCTGTGATTGCTAGTATCACTCAGCCCTCTGTGAATAGTAAACAGCCATCAGGTGCTAATGATCCATTGTTAGGCTGATGGTCCTTCTTGAGCATGTGATCAGCTGGTTTTGGTTGTCAGCAGCAAAACTGGTTGATCCACTCTGCGAAGGTGCTATTTAAGAGACTGATCTGAATACAGCACCTCAGACTGAGGAAGTCTCTTGGATGAGAGACGAAACGTTTCTACTTTTTTTTTGTTGTTTTGCTTTGTTTTGTTTTTTTTGAATGTCCAGAGGACCAGATTTAACATTTTTTAGATCATTTAGATGAGTAGTGTTGAACACAAGTAAAAATGTCTAGTGGTGATGTTTTTTATTTCTCTATAAACACAGATGGTGCCGACCTGACGCTCTGTATTGAAGTGTATTAAAGTTAAAATGTCTTTAAAACCCACAGCTGAATTTACAAAAACTTGGTGAGAAACATGTTTTCAATGTGTGGAATTAAAGGAAATCTAGGTGAAATGCTGCTTTTTTGTACACTAGTGAACACCTTTTATTTTCTCCGGCGCGCATGCATGCATGCATGCCCTCCTACACGCATCATTGTGTCCCCCCCACATTATGGATGCTTCTGATGCCCTTGTTCTCACCCTATCTCTAAGGGAGAGCCCAGACACCCTGCGGAGAAAACTCGTTTCAGCTGCCTGGAGTCGTGATCTCGTTCTTTCGGTCACAACCCAAAGCTCATGACCATAGAAGAGGGTAGGAACGTAGATTGACCGTTAAATTGAGAGCTTCATCTTTTGATTCGGCTCTCTCTTCACCATGACAGACCGGTACAGCACCTGCTTCTCTGCCGACGTTGCACCTATCCGTCTATCGATCTCACGCTCCATTTTTCCCTCATTCGTGATCAAGATCCCAAGATACTTAAACTCCTCCACTTGGTGTTGGATGAAAACGCTTCATCCCTGCGGGACATGCTGTCTGCATCTCTGCTGGGCAGGAGCGTGTGTGCGTGCTGCAGCCGGAACATCCACTCATCCACGCCACAGACTTGGTCCACCGGGCCAAGGGCAATAGCTCCTCTTGTTGTATTTTTAATAAATAATCAAAAATAAATATGCACAATGACTTTGGACTTTTAGGGGTGGAGATTTGAGTTTCCAAATCCAAGCAAACAGTTGCTGGAACGTACCCTATCAAAATAAGAGAGTTTCTGTATCTTGTTCCGGTAGGATGCGGCTCAAATTAAGCCCTACTGCTCCCCAAACTGAGCTTCTTTACACACCACCATCTCTGCTCTTTTTCAATATTGTCGGACCTCCTTTGACCAATTTCAGTCTGATCCTTTGAGTTTGTGGGCAGCTAACGACACAGGACTGCTGCTGACACGGCACAAAATGCGTGGAGCAGGAAGGAGGATGACGAGGCTCAGCTGACCCCGGTGTGGGATATACGGGTATTATAACTAAACAACTAATGGATGAGAAATGATCCTGCACTTAATACACACAAATCACACATACAGTGTTTAAAAGTAAATTATAAATATGAACAGGCTTCAGTGATGGCTTTAGCCTCTTTTTGGGGGTGCTCAAGCACTCCTACATTTTAACTCGGCACCCCTGAAAAATAAAGAAACCATCATTAGGATTGTGTAAAAAAATTCAGTCCTCAAACATTAGATTCATCAAAATTTTGCACAAATATTTAATAAATATGGAATAAATGGGGGGAGGCAGGGTGTTGCAACGGTTAGGGCGGCTGCCTCTCAGCGAGCAGGTTACCCTGGTTCAGTCCCGGTCCAGGGACCTTTCTAAGAGGAGTTTGCATGTTCTCTCCTTGCTGTGTGGGTTTTCTCCAGGTATTCCAGGGTGTACCTCTCGCACAGTGATGGCTGGACATGGGCATCAGCGACCCCCGCAACCCGAAAAGGAAGAAGCGGGTAAAGGTGATGGATGGATGGATGGATAGGTGGATAGATGGAATAAATAATGACAGTCTTAAAATGGGCTAGTGAAATCTGCTTTTTTTTTTGTTTGTTTTAGCAGTAGTCAAATCCTTGACCCACCTGTCAGTCAGTCCAGTAGACACGTCAGCAATTGACCACTCAGCAACCTCAATTTGTCCTTAAGTGAACGCCTCTTACATGCAGAGCTACAGCTTTACAGGCAGAGATTTCAGGAATGAGTTTACATCTTTTTTTCATGTTAATCTACTGTAGTAAAACTTTGTAAAACACACTGGAATGCAGGAAATAGACGTTTATAAAAAAGCATACAGATTTTTTTTTAATTTTTTTTTTTTATACAAATAAGATACCAAAAAAAGTAACAGAAACAGCTAGATTATAAGGGGAATGTAGAAAACTAAAAACAGGAACATGTCTGCATTGGTCCCTGCCAGGAGTCCAACAGATTCTTAAAGCCACTTAGAGAGGTCAAAGTCGAGAGCTTCAAATCTTTTTGTAAGATATTCCAGGAAACAGGAGTGGAGTAGGAGAAGGTCCTTTTGTCTAGTTCAGTCCTCACTGAGGGAACACTGCAGGTAATAATGTCCTGAGAGCGCACGCTGTAGCTGCACTCACACAGAGATGTAGTGGACTAGGCCTCCGACCAAAACCTGCCTCTGAAGACCTTCATGGGACAGGAACTGTTATTTCATTGATTTGAATCCAGAATTACAAATTAGCTCATCCAGACTTTCTAATTGTATCCTGAAGTAATCAATTGAAAAAACACTCTTCTTTTATTTTATCATTACTATTTTACAATATCTTGATAAATCAAAAGTGTGTTTAGTTCATGCCATTTTTAAATGTTGAAGTGAACCACTCATTTTAAATCAACTGTGAAACAGTATTAATGATTTTTTAATCCTCATTTAAATTAGAAATCAAGTTAAATGTCTATTTTACAAAGTAATTATGCATTTTGATCTTCTGTCTGAAATGAGAAAGAGTGATGTCGGTCAAAAGTCTGAGACAGTCAAGAACAAGTTGTTAGAACGGGCTGTCGTGTTTTTAAAACTCTCAGACAGTAAATAAGAAAACTGGCACCTGCAGTGTTTCTCACTTCGCCAAAACATTTCTCTGTCTGTTCCTAAAACATTCTTGCTGTTTTCTTGACTTGTAAAAACCCTTTGACATCACTAGAACCACACCCCTGTTGGTTGCTTCAACCAATCAGGACTTACTAAAGTGACCGGAAGCAGAACTCTTTAAAAGTCGACTCTTCCTGGAACTATTGGTCTTCTGGGTCTTCTGGGGTCTTGTGGAGTAGTTCTGGAGTGAAGTTCTGTTCTTCAGCTCTAGTAGTTCTGGAGTTCTGGAGTTTGTCCACTGCTGAGTGGAACTTCGGACTCAGTTTTCCAGTCTAATGGAGTCATCCATCTTTGCTGTGATCACGGCGCCTCGCTGTGACTCTCACCAGTCGAATGCCCTACAACTTTTGAGGAAGTTTGTTCTGTAGAACGGAGTATCTCACGACTTCTGCCGAGTCGCAGCCGCCCTGAGGAGACGCTGAAAGGTAGCGTGCCAGGGACCTCTTGACCGTAGCAGACCCATCCTCTGCCAAGGTAAAGAGTCGTCACGAGCTTCACGCGAAGTGTACCGCGGGCAAACTGCGTTAAAAAGGAGCATGTTGTTCTGGTTTACAGACATACATCTTCCTTCAACATCTCCCTTTAAACTCCTCCATATTTCCCATCTTTAAAACTCTTCTATCTTGCCAGTAATTAATCCAGATGCCTTTAGAAATGTCTGTTGTTTTTATTAAGTAAACGTGCCACGTTTTATTAATCAGAACCAGACCAGTCTAATCAAGTGTACAATGTTTTGATGTTAAATTTTGATTCTGTTAATAAATTACCACATTTATTTTGATGGGTCAAAGAAAATTAACGTCTCATGTCACTGATTAAACCATCTACGCACAGTACTTCCGTCACATGGCTGTAATTAGCTTGAAAAAGAGAGAACCCGTTATTTAAAAATAATTGTAGTGAAGCTCTAAAAAGCTAACCTAGCCCTTTAGAACACTACAGAGACATGTAGGAACATCATTATCAACATTAACATATTTTCTGACATTAAACCAATCCATGGCACATAAAAGGTTGGGGACTACTGTTCTAACAGGCTGCTTGCATTTACAAATTCAACAGAGATAAAGGGTGAAAGCTCAAAAGGATCGAACATTTTTTCTGTACTCCATTCTCACGATTGTCAGCTGCTCCGAAGTAATTAAATAAATTTCCTCAACATATTGAATGGCAGATATTTTTCTGTAGAAAATTGTTTCCATCACCTTCTGTTACCTTTTACACCATATATGCTTCCTGGTTGCAAATTTATCACTTCAGATTTGCTTAATTCAGTGCAAACTTTCACACCAAAGCATTCTGTTGCTTTATTTACACTATGTTCACACTGCATGTAAAATTGTCTAAATCTGACATGTTTGCCCATATGTAGCCTATAATTGATATATATATATATATATATATATATATATATATATATGAATGTCACAACTCGTTTTTTTCTGTAATCAGACCCAGTTCACTTTCACATGTGGTCCTAAATTGGATTGATGCTTGATGGTTTTCAAAGCAACCTGTCTGAACAATCGGTTGCATCTCTTCTGATTTTTATGTCACTGAAGTGTGACAGATGTCATAATTCTGCTCAGTTCTGTGACATGTCAAGTCCTGATGTTGCGGTCAACATGTTATACATGTTGAAATGGAAATGTTTGTGTGTCTCTAACAGCAAGATGTGAGTGAGTTCACCCACAAGCTACTGGACTGGTTGGAGGATGCCTTTCAGATGAAGGCTGAAGAAGACAGGTAATATCAGCCATCTAGATCCAGTAGAACGATGTTAACAAGTAAAATATTAAAACAATGTTTTTAGGAAACATTTGACTACAGATGTTCCAGTATACATGCTTTAAAGGATTCGGGGATCTGTAGGGACTCTTGTTCACTTTCCCCTGGTAGCTAAACTCATTTTAGGCTAGTGTGGTAAATCTCACATTTTGTATGTCATTAGAATAATGCCCCATTTGCACTGCTCCTACTGAGCCCCTGGCTCTACTCATCCTTCCACGGAAAAATCGCTATTCCACAGTACTTTTTAGTTGATTCGGGACCTTGTTTGGTCTCTGCTTCTCTGGTGGGACCGTGCGAACTGAGTTGGGACCGAATCATGAATGCAGGACACTGATTGGTCAGGGGGAGGAGTCACTGGATCGCAGAAACTTTTTACTGATCTACCATTTGCAATTTCTCTGGATGCGGAGCAGCGGCTGGATGTATTTTTTAAGATTTTAAAACAATAATGACAACGCCGTGTTTAATGCTGAATTCAAGGCATTGTTCGTGTTTGGTGACCGATGACAAAATTCGAGTGAGTGGTGTCACCGCAGAAGATCATACGAGCTGCCGACCCATTGAAGCACGTGAGGCCGCACCCTGAGCCCCGGCCTTGCCTGCTCACAAAGGCCGGATTCTGAGCCCTGGCAGGCGGGAGGACCGGGAGTCCGGGACGGAGGGTGGAAACGTTTTTTTTTTTTAACATTTTATGTATAATTTTTTTTTTTTTTTTAAGCAGTTAAGAATAAAAATAAATAAACGGTGCCGGCTTTATCATGAAATCCTGTTTTCACTTTGACTTTATTAAATAATCTGTCAATTAAAGTTAACAGCTGAAAAATCATAAAAAGACAATTATTGGATCTCTCAGGAATATTTCCATCAGACATGTTTAAAGAAGAGATACAGTCTTTGGTTCAAATTTATTCTATCTCACAGATGAACAAATCACTAAACAAGCATTACACTTTAAATCACTGTTTGATTGTTCCTCTCTCTTCAAATGAGGATTGCCAACTTTTTCTTTCTATCATAGACAAAGTCAGTAAGGTGAGAAATAACACTGATCACTGATCATCACTTAAATCACTACAATAAAATCTGTATACAAGAAACAAAACCACATATAAAAAATGAGTGCAAATACATCAAATGATGAAGAAAATATGGAATTTTAAATATAAATGTTTTTGTAGGATCTGGTTCATCAGATTTAATTCAGTTTATATAGCGCCATGTCCCAACACAAGTCTTCTCAGCGCACTGAACAGAAACATTCATATATAAAATAATAATTTAACATTATTTATCTGAGGAGCAGACTGCTTTGAGTTTAACTCATCGCAGAACTCTCACTCTTAATGGTGAACTAAAGTTCATTAAAAGTTCATTAGCAGGATTTTGGATTCTGGACACGCTTCCAGAACCGGTCCTGAGTTGGGGCTGAGTAGGAGCAGTGCAAAAGTGGCATAACTACTAACTACCCCCCCCCCCCCCCCCCCCCCCCCCAGACACCTCCCCCCTTTTTTTTCCCCACAATAAACAAAGACAGACTCTCTTCATCATCATAACTACTACTATCATGTGCTGGCTGAACGGAGGAGTGAGCATGTTCTTCACGCTGTGCTGTCTGTCAAATCATTTTAGGAATGTGGCTTGTGTAACACACAAATGTGAGTTGAAACAACGTCTAAACATTAGGTTCTCCTTCAACTCTTGGGGCTTAAAAAAGGAGCTATCAAGGCTACCCCTTGCCATGGCACAGTGCCCCCACTAGGAGCTAGTGATAACCACTGAGCTAGTTGTTGATTAGTTATTAATTAAAATAAAACAACTTTACATTTTGCATTTGATCATTTTGATCATATAGGCTGAATAGATTTACCGTAAAAACAACAAAACATCTTTTTATATTGTACTATCATTTATATGTGGTGGAGAGATGCAAGACATAACTAAAACCAGTTTTCACAAGTGGTCACATCCACAGGATGTTCTGGACATTAACAACTTCTTAGGACAGATGTCAGGTGTATTGTGACTTGGGGGGGGGGGGGGGGGGGGCTTAATTTCAAGACCCAATGGAGCATTAACAGCTTGATTGTTATAATATGTATGTATTTATTTGCTTATTTATTTTTCAGCGTGGGAAAGAAGCCAAAGAACCCCATGGTGGAGCTTTTTTATGGGCGCTTTCTTGCTGTGGGTGTATTAGAAGGTAATATGTGGTGTTCAATTTAAATAATTAAGAGAAGAAGAGGTGAGCTGGAAGATCACAGAGAAATAAAAGCTTGGGCATGATTTCATATTAACATCCACAAAGCAAGCAAGTCCATGCCCCAAGTAATGAAAGGTGATCTTGCCTTAATGAGATGCGATCCATGCAGAACAGCAGAGCATTTGCACTGATTGTAGAAGACCTTGACAGCTGATTGACATTGTGTTTATCATGCACGACAATACTGGCCCAGAGCTACCTAAAGCTGAACCAGTGGGTTCTGCTTCCCGTTAAATGTCCTTAATGTCTCATCTAGTATGTCTGCTAGCAAGCACTCCTCTTTTCTCGTAGTGGTGAGACTGTCATCAGTTTTTGGTTTATAAAATCGTGTGCTGTTTTTAAAGTAGCCGCAATGACTGAGTGCAAAAATGGAAAAAATAATTTATGATCTTTCAGTATCACAAATACAAAAGAGCCAAATAGGCAAAAAAATTTTTAAAGAACAAACATTTAGCATACATCAGCTAAACAAAGCTGTGTCTCCTTATTATCCTACAATACACCCCACCCCTTTTCAGTCTCTTAAAGTTGTTTATGTGAGTTTGCAAATTAAAGGTGATTTTTTCCTTTGCAGACATCTTTACAGAGAGCAGGAATATTTGATATAGCTTGCCACTGAAAGTGAAAGGGCAGCTGACAGTCTTGCCCAACTTGCACTCATTGCCATTATTATTAGTCAACTGTCTGTTAGCAAAATATCTCACAAACCACTGAACAGATTTTAATAAAAATTTCATAATGTCATCATTGGCTGTACATTTATGATTGTTTAACTTTTGGAATCACCCCATTTCAAAATGGTGAACACCTTTTTGACCTTAGCAAACACAAAAATGACTGTAGGTCAGTTAAATGTGTAGTTACTGAGCGTCAAGTCTGATGCTTTGAGAGTCATTAGCAAGACATACTACTGAGTGCTACTGATCAATATGGCTAAAATTCCACCCCTTTTCATACCATACCACTTTATTTATAGAGCACTTAAAACAGCAACAAGGCCAACCAAAGTGCTGTACAGACAGAACAACAGGTAACACACAAAGCAAAACCCAGCATAAGTTGATCTTAGTCAGCTATGACATAAAAGGCAGCAGGATATATGCATGTCTTCAAGGAATTTAATGTGGAAATACTTTCATTTCCAGTGTGGATCAATTAATATGTTGCATAATAACAGACCATTATAAGGTTGTCCAATGTTGTTTCAACCCTAATCTTTTACAGAGTCACCTTTTCTTGACCGTAATAACTTTCATGACACTCATTTATTTCTGCCTTATAACCTTGTGTGTGTGTGTGTGTGTGTGTGTGTGTATATATATATATATATATATATATATATATATATATATATATATATCCCTATACCTCCCTACAGGTCAAAAATTTGAGAACACTGAGATGTTTGGACAGTATCCCCTGCAGGTGAATGGCTTCAAAGACCTCCATGAATGTCTTGAGGCTGCAATGATTGAGGGGGAGATTGAGTCTCTGCACTCAGCTGAGAATTCTGCCAGATCTGGTCAAGAGGTCAGTACCATATATCTTTTCTTGAAAAATCGAGTTTAAAATCACATGTATTATTTAGTGAATACAGAACAGCCTTCCTTAATGGTTAGCTGCAAACATCCATCCATCCATCCATTATCTTCTGTTTATTTTTGAAGTCTGGTCGTGGGGGCAGCATCTTGATCAGGGAGGTCCAGACATCTCTTTCCACAGCCACCTCTTCCAGTTCTTCTGGGAGGATTCCAAGGCATTCCCTGGCCAACCGAGAGACATAGTCTCTTCAGCGTGTCCTGGGTCTTCCCTGGGGTCTCCTCCCAGTTGGACATGCCCAAAGTACCTCCCTAGGGAGGCGCTCAGAGAGCATTCTTACCAGATGTCCGAACCGCCTCAACTTGCTCCTCTCGACGTGGAAGAGCAGCGTTTCTACTATTGAGTCTCTCCTGATAACTGAATTTTTCACCCTAGCTCTAAGGGAGGGTCCAGCTACCCTGTGGAGGAAACTCATTTTAACCATCTGTGTCTGCAATCTCATTCTTTCAGTCACTACCCACTAGGGGTGAGAATCTCTGTGTCTTTCGATTCAGAAATGATTTTTCTATTGAAATGGTCATAAATTTTGTTTAAATTATGTAAGTGACAAGATGAAAAGATTAATCAACAATGTAAACAATAGAATGTTTTTCTACCCAGTGGACTTACCACTTTGGTTATGGCTAACCCCCACTGCAGCCTCTCCTCTAAGGGGTATAACGAACTAAGTCTAATACTTGAGTATTACCCAGAGTAATATTAGATTAGTTCAGCTTTAGGCTGTGTGTGAAAGTGATTCACCCAGACTTGTTGACGACCTCCATCTGTGAGCCACACCCTTATCTCACCCCGTGGCTCGTCCAACCTAGCAGCCGAAGTTCGATCATCGTCCACAGGGAAACTCACATTAACAGTCGCTCACCTTCTTTGTAGAACTGCAATTCTTACTGATCTGGTTCTGTTTAGAATCCAGGATTAGGATTCTAGGATGTTGTCTTAATATTCACAGCTGAGAAAACCGTTAAAACCTCCCTAAATTATTAAAATTGAACCATGCTTTTTAGATCCATGAACATGAAGTGGTGAAATGATAGTCCAGATTTTATTTCTTATGCTTTGCTTTAATTAATGTTTTGCAGGGGAACAGCGTTAATGCACAATCCAAAACAATGATTACATCTGGTTATATAGCAGAATCAGTCATTAAGAGTCCATAAATTGCTTGAAAGGTGTTGTTATTAATTGTTTTTGTGTCCAAGGGATTGAAAGTCCAATCTGTGCTGAAATTCCTTGCTCCGATGAGCTGAGACAGGGAGTTATGAGTCTAGGGCTGCAACAATTAATCGATAAAATCAATAAAAATCAATGATTGAAAGCGTTGGCAACGAATTTCATTATCGATTTGTTGTGTCGCGCGATTATGCGTCTTTCACGGCGCTGCGGAGCCGTTTTGTTCACCTGCAGTTCATTGTCAATGCTGACTGACTGAATAAAGTAAATAAAATAAAAAACTCTGCAGCGCGAGTTGAACAGAGCGAGGGGGAGGAGGAAGCAGAGCAGAGGCTGTTTTCAAAGGAAATTAAGTAAATTTTACAAATGACCGACGCAGCGAAAACTGTTCGACCCAAGTCCTCCAAAGTGTGGGAGAACTTCACAAAGATAAAAACTGAGCAACATGCTGCTTTGAAAAGTGACGTCACGACACGAGAGAACCACGGAGATGAAACGTAAACATGTCGGAGTCACGAGGAGGAGGAAGGAGCTGCAGCTGATACAACTCTTCATGTGTTGCAGGTGAGTCTCTACAATTTAACACATTGTTCTGTTTCAAGAGAGAAAACGTAACGTCAGTCTGTCTGTAGTTGAAGCTGTTTGTTTGTTTGTTTATCTGATTAATGACGGTGATAGAGAACGTGTGTGTTACTTTTTATTTAATTTAATTGGTACAATCAGTGTTTAAATGTGATTTATTAATAAATCTAACACACAGATAATTTAATGATTAAGCTTCAACTTTTAATTTGTTGGCAAAGTCTGAAGACACTGCAGGTATGGCAGGATGAATTGCATTTAAACAGGAATTAAAGTAATTTATTACATCTACTCAAATGTGTGTAATTAAGTATTTTATGTGTGTGTGTGTGTGTGTGTGTGTGTGTGTGTGTGTGTGTGTGTGT